TCTAGTTGCACTACATCCATGACTTACCAACAAATAGAGTGACAGAAAATATTAACTAACTCTTTTTCTATCATTCCTTCATTAAACAAGAGTTCGTTCGTTTCATTTGAGGATTGCATTCAAAAAAGGCAGAATCATTTGCTCTAATCAGAGAATTCAAAATTCAGATCTGATGAGAAGGCAGACGATACCCATATGTTCGACTGCGACGTAGTTGTTAAAAAACTAGCGACATGGGTATATTTGAATGAAGTCAATGAAAAGAAAAAATGAACACAGCTTAACACGATACATTTAAGAGTCTGAAAAACGTGTTATACGCGCACAGATAGATAAAATGAATAAATTACTATTCTGTAGACTCTAGAATCTTCAGTCTATGGGAAAAGAGAGACAAAATTATAATGAAGAGTTAAAAAGTAGTCACATATATGAAAGCAAAAACCGAATTGAACTAATTCACGTATTGATATAAGCATAGAAATGTTTCTAATGATCATAATTGAAAATAAAGAGAAGATAGTTATATGGTGTCATCATTTATGAATAGTCTTGATAAAAATAGTTAACAATCACTTAATTCAGTGATAGTTTAGAAAATTGTCAATTAGTTGTTACATGAATTTAGTAAAATAGATAAACTGTTCGAGTGTTCATTAGTCACGGGTGTGGGTATGGGTCTGGGTGTGAGTGTGTGGGTGTGGGTGTGGGATGTGCGTGTGCGTACGGGTGTGGATGTGGGTCGCTATGGGTGTGAGGGTGGGTATGGGTGTGGGCGTGGGTTGGGTGGGAGATGATAAAACCTTCGTATCAACACGGACACCCACACCCCACCCACACCCACGCCCACACCCTCTATTTAAATTTTCTATTTATGATTTTATACTAGAAGCAGGAGCGTAATATTTGGAAATCGAGATTTTAATTTCGATTTATATGACTTTTCTGAAGTATTTTATGTTACATTTTTATTTAACGAAACTTTAGTCACTTAATTACATCGACCTTTCATTTCTGGATTATAAGTGTTTCTGGCGAAACATTGAGCTGCCGTTTTGTCGCACATGCAAGCCTTGTATTGAGCAGAACCTACAGGATCAATACAATTATAATTGCTGTCGCCTACATAGTAGGATGCCCACTCGTCCCAACCTTTGTAGCAGCCATCGTGTGTCTTGCAGCATTGATCAATAGCATCCATCGTTTTCGTGCCACGGTTACCACTGCCACACCTATTTATATCATCGTTTCATGAGCAGGAACAAAGAAATAGGAGAAAAAACTCACCAGCATCCGTAGTTGTTGTAGTCGAGGGGATTTCTACCTGTATAGTGATAAATAACTTGTGCAAAGCCAATAAGTAGCCTAGGTTGAATGTTCACCTTTACAGCTGGATTACCAGTCGCCGTGGCGATCAGTGCCCAGCAGATGCAAATCAAAATAATTGTCTTCATTATGTCGAGAGAAAAAATGTGTATAACTCTGCTTACTGAAGCTGACCTTATATTGTCGGCAATGAATATTTGTTTTGGCCAATGTAAAGTAATAACGACGTAAATTGACGTATAGATCAATAGTCACTTTCCTCTGCTGAATCAAACTGCGCAAATATTTGCACATAATATCATCGATTAGTCATGACTCAACAATGACAATAGTCAAGTAATCCTCTCAGCAGAGGCGATACTTTCTGTCAGAAGTACGGTATCGCTATTAATTGACCTAACAGCAAAAAAAAGACCATCAATACATAATCCTAGCTTACTGTATTTCAACCTGTCATTCTTATTTGGAAAAGACATATTTTTTTCCGTCAAAAGTCTATCTTTCAGAGTTTAGGTATGAAGTGTGGGTTTAGGTGTTAGTATCTCCTGATGGACACTCATACCTACATTCAAAATCGTCATGCATGACTGCATGAGAAAACTATCATCTGTAAATTATCTTTTTCTGCAAATATTTGTACCTTCCGTATACCGTCGAAGTTTGAAAAGATGAATTTCAGATGGGCACGCATCATATTCATACGATCTTAGCGATGTTTTTCTTTTTATGCTAAATGCAACTAAGCGAATGTAAATCATTAGTCTGCTACTACATTTAGTGCAGTCAACCGTCTTTCAGTCAATAAAACTCGAAACACAAAAAAGTGTTAATTTAAATGAAATATTTGGTAAAATTAGACAAAACCAACTGTTTCTCATATTTGTACGTACATATGCAATCAGCAAAAAAAAATCAATGTGTTGTCTATTCGTTTTTTAAATTCGTTTTGAGAACAATAAAGAAAAAACCATAGTAAAGAATAATATATATATTTTTGCCAATATTTATAATTAAAATTATTGTTTTATTCATTAAATAAAATAAAATGAATATATCTACTCAAACGAAAAAAATAAAGTCAAGTAGGATATCACGGAAAAAAGGAAAGATTATTTTGAGGACAGAAAAAAATCCACTGCAATTCGTGTGAAAAAAAAATATTTAAATATACTGTTTTTTTGTGTCTATACGTGAAAAAAATGAGATTCACAAATTGAATAAGAAAAAAAAAATTATCAATTAAATAGCATCGGTTTATGTTGATTTCATTCGTTGTATTTTTCAATCATATGAAGACATTTACGATTCTTAAAAAACTCGTATCATTGCCATACGATCTTTGCCAACACCAATCCATTTCACTAAAAGCAAAAATAAAAAAAATTTCTTAAAGAAAAACAAAAATACTAACCAGGAACACCGAGATATTGTTCAATAAATTGTATATAAAGTCTTGCATTATGTGGTAGTGAATTAAATGTACGACATTCAGATGTTGAACGTCCACGCCAACCCGGAAACGTAACATATTCAACTTCAATATCATGCATTGTATCAACTGATGCTATTTAACATTTTAAAAAACATGCATAAACAAAAGAGAAAGATTTAATCAAAATATTCTTACCAGGAAAATTTGGTAATTCAACACCATTTCGTTTATATGTTGTTGCAACTTTAATTTCTGATAATTCATCAAGTGTATCAAGTTTAGTTAAACATAAAGCTGTAAAACCATTTATCATATTTGTATATTTAAGTAAAACAAGATCAAGCCAACCACAACGACGTTTTCGACCTGTTGTAACACCCCATTCACGACCACGTGTCTGTAAATGTTCACCGATTTCCTATTACAATAAAAAAAATTAAATCATTTTATATAAATATAATTAATAGTTTCTTTTACATTTTTAAGTTCTGTTGGAAATACACCATCACCCACACGTGTTGTGTAAGCTTTAACAACACCATAAATATCTCCAATATATTTTGGTGGTAAACCAAGACCTGTGCATACACCACCGATACTACAATTCGATGAAGTTACATATGGATATGTACCTTGAAAAACAAAACACACCAATCAATAAATTACACATAAGTTTATAAACATACCAAAATCAATATCAAGCATTGTAGCATTAGCACCTTCGACAAGAATTTTTTTCGAACCATCAATAATAGCTTCATTTAAATAAGCTATTGTATCGATTGTCATAGGACGGAAATATTCGGCAAGTTGTTTAAATTGTTCGATTGTTTTTTCAATATCACCTTCCAAATCAGGAAATGTTAATTTATAATAATTATAAAGATTTTGTAATCTATTATAAATACAAACATATTTAGAAATGATTTTCCTAATAAATGATTAACTTTTCAGCAAATATTGCGAAATCACCCATTAAATCAATCAAACGAACACCATTTCGTGTAGCCTTAAACCAAAGTTTATTTAAAATCACTATCCATCTATAAATATTATTTTACTTTAGACGAATATGTTGGTCCAATTCCTTTTTTAGTTGTACCAAGACTAACAAATCATTAGTTTTATCATACAAATAAAAATAAATTGATCCATTGTCACTTACCTACTCTTACCACGTCCACGTTCTATTAATCCATCGGTTTGCTTATGAAAATCAAAAACTAAATAAAATGAGGTTGTTAGCGCAATCCCAACGTAATTAAAATGTGTGAATACATGAAACGAACTTCTTTGCTCAGAAATTATTGGATATGATGCAGAAAAGCATTTTTTTTCTTCAAACTTAATTCGTGTTATATACCATTAGACGTAGTTTTATGCACGGATTTCAAATATACTATTTTGGTCGATTAAATAGCTTTCAAGAGCCAGAA